GGGTCTGCTTTGGAGATGCCCTTAGACCACCAGCTTAAGCAAGTGTCATGAGTTGCCTATCTCTGTTCACCTGAGAAACCTAAGTTAATCTAGTTGCCAATCTTCATTTTGTTCAATATTATTATACTTATTACATATACATGACACTTTTGCAGCAGTACCATTGCATACTGTTTTCGATGTCACAAAAAAGGCTACGTAGGCGAGGGAAAGGTAGGAGCAGTACCATTGCATACTGTTTTCGATGTCACAAAAAAGGCTACGTAGGCGAGGGAAAGGTAGGTCGCTGTCTCTCATTACTTGCGCAACTCTGTTTCTTAATAGTTAAGTCGCCCACCCGCGGGAAACAAGAAAGAACACTTCAGGCACTGCATTTTGATGTTCAATACTCAATACTGCATGATAATAGCAATGTTTTATAGATACTTGCACAAAACAAACTTATTTGCAGTGAAAATGGTGAAAGAATGTCCTAGAAAACGTTAAAAGTCACGCTCTGTTGGAGAGCATTCATTCAAGCAAAGCATGATACTCCATTGCAAGAAAAATATTAAACATAGTATTTGTTATTACTTAGAACCATAATAACATAATCCAAACATATTTTGTAATACATTAGAACATGACTTTACAAATAGCATCATCCATCCATCCAGTCTCCAGGACCAAAAAACAACACACCCTGCTCAAACAATGTCAAGGAGCTGACCCCTGTAGGTGCTGGGGCCTCCACCTAGCCGAGATCTCAGCATCAGCATTAGAACAGGCCATTCACCAACAATCTTTGTCGCCAGCGGGACAAGAGCTCCACAGCAAAGAATGAGAATGGCCAACCACAAGTGATGTGGCGCCAACAATATGAACATCCCAATAGTGAAAGCTACAAGTGTGAACGCATACGAGACCCACATTAGCAGCTTTGTGACAGCCAAATAATGCACCAAGAATCTGTAGTCGCCCCAACGATAAAGAACACAGAGAAAAGCTACTAAAAAAGAAGAGAACATCGCCAGTGCATCAGATATCAAGAATATGATCTGGCTCCTGGAGTAAACCGGCTGACCTGCGCTTCCCGGGTCTGAGCTATAGCCACCGGGCACCGTGAACAAGGCTGCAAACGTGATAGTGGCGATAAGAGTCGCAATGATCGCTGTATTACTTGTGTAGGTCTTGCTCAATGACTTTGAATCCAATCTAGATGCATTGACTGCGTTTATCCTCGCTTCCTTTTGCAAAAAATGGATGGAGAAGCTATCGCGAGGATCAGCCTTTGAAAGAAGCATGCAGATCTCATTCTGCAAGACACCAAAAATGTTAAGACTTAACATCCTGCAATAAAGAGTAACTGAAAGGGACCACAATGCATAAAACAAGCATTCACAGTTATTCAACCACCGGCCAATAGCAGCTGACCTACGTTGTTAGGCATATATTTATTACTGAATTTTGTTCGCCCTCTCTGAACTGTGGTCTGTTCAAGTATCTTATGGCTTTGAAATTCTCTTCTGAATCTATGAGTTTCAGTGTCTTCTCTGGGTTTTAGGGAGTCTGTTCCTGCTCTGTTCAACATTCAGGCCGAACTAGTTTGCGGTGTTGTTGCAAATGCAAGGCTGGTGGCATCCTGCACGGATACACAGAGGATACTGCCGGATACAGCTCGATAGGTATCCTTTGATTTTTCAAATTTTTAGAAAGTAAACTAGTCCTGATACGTGTGGGATACTGCTATGATACATTTTGGATACGGGAAACCCTCCTTTCAACGTTAAAATCCCTCTTGAAGCTGCACGACCCCATAACCTCTCGCCTTCCCTTGTCGAGTCGTCTCCCTCCCGGCTGCACGCCTTCTCCCAATCAAGTCTGTTCTGTAACTTCTGTTCTGAACTCAGATTAGATTGATTTGTTCTGTAACCTGGCATGCAGTTAGTGATCACATCCGTTCTGCACGAGTGCACCTGTGCCAATAGGTACTTTAGGCTTAGGATTTAAGATTAGATCGGTTTGTTATTTTGTTTCTGCTCTCTGTTCTGACCAGTTCCCTTAATCTCTTTGTACCATTCAGATCGGCCATGTCTAGTAGTTCTCCTTCCGTTGGAAAGTGAAGCAAGCAGTGGAGGAGGCACCATGAATGCAGTACAGGTATTGGCTGCTGCTCATGTCATTCCGGCAGATGATAATGAGAAGATGCCTTTGTGGAGGTATGTCCAGAAGTTGGAAAACACTGGTAAAGGGAAAGGAGGCAACAAGAGATCCATGAAAGGGGGAAGGGGGGATCTTATTGAGGCATGCTTTGACATGGAAGCTCGCAGCCACCTTGATGCATTGATCACAAGTAAGTTTTACACAGCAGGACTAACTAGCCAATTAGGATCCATCACACTTATCCATATCATACAATATCTTAATCTAGTCAACAATACCGTCAACCACACAACTATGGGTAAAATAAACCTATGTTCCAACAAAAATTTAAATGATCTGGATAAGAGAAATTACCCATTCGAGTGTTTTCGCCTCGCTGTACGCATACTTCAGTTCCCATGCGGCAGAGTGACCCTCCTCATCAAGTATAGAAATGTCAATATCCTTGTGGGATAATATACTTCCAACCAATTTAGGCCTGCATTTGAGAACAGCGTGATGAAGCGCTGTCTTCCCCTCCTTGTCACGCAGGTTGATGAGAGCGCGCAGCTGCGGGGCACATATAATAAAGTTTAAGAACTCTTCGTGCTCTGAAACAATAGCTTCGTGAAGACAGGTCACTCCAGTGGTACTGTTCTCATATGGAGCGTCAGGGCAATGTAGGAGCAGCTCTTTAGCTACATCAATTGCACCATGCGAAGCCGCTGATACAAGGAGAGGTTGGCCTGCATTGCTAATTTCATACCCAAGCAAGAAATCCGTCTTCAGAAATACTCGAAGAACCTCAGTTCTACAAGTGATCACTGACAATCTCACTGGAGATATCCCAACACTGTCCTCAACTTTTGCCATCGATGGGCGATGCTCCATGATTGTTTTCACAATGTCTGAAACCAACGGTACACATAATACATCAACAGCAAGAAGACGGCATTATCAGACTTGAAATACAAAAATATCCAAAACAGTAGCATCAATTTTTCTAAGGCAGGCAGCATTAATTGGATAACACATCTCAGTCAGCAAGTATGGTGTTAATGGTACTTGAGAAATTTCAATGAGAAAAAACATATGGTGTTAACATTCATGCCAAATAGATAGAACAAATATTATCACAGCACTTTCTACAATAGTCAGTAGCTAGCATGTCGGAAACTCCATAACACATCTAAGACGGCAATCAACTTGGAATGTAATGAGTACAATGAATTTAATGATTGGTACGAGCAAAAAAGAAGTGACAAAAGAAACTTCATATTTTTATTACCTTCATTTCCATTTCTCACAGCTGCATGCAAGGCATTGTTGCCATGTTGACCGCAGTCAGCAGAGTCTGTAATAACGATAAGCTGCTCAAAAATTTCCTTGTAATTCTTGAGTGTGGCAATATACATTGGTGATTCATCCATTCTGCTTATCGCTTTGGACAACTCGGGAGCTTCCCCAATCAGCTTTAGTGCTAGGTCCTGATACCCACATCTTATAGCATGATGTAACACATTGTATCCAGCATCATCGGCTACCAATAGAGCTTCTTCCAAAACTTGTTGACCTCTCAAAAGTGAAACTGTATGTGTAACAATATCAGGAAACCCATGAATTACAGCAACCATCAATGCAGTCTGCCCATTACTGTTCACAGCAAGAACAAGTGGCTTCTGGAGCTGCCAAGCAGAGGTGAAGAACATGAGATGCCCACGCATAGCAGCAATATGGAGACAATTATTTCCTTGTGGAGTAGTTTGAAACAAACTCCAAGAGTTTCTGCTGCAAGTGCTCCTCAACAACCGGACATCACCTGACATGGCTGCTTCTAGCATTTTCTTATCAATATCACCTACCGGCCCATTCGGACACCTGGGTAGTAAATCTATAGCCCTCAGCCTCCTACCCATGGAACGCATGAACTCTGGACTGTCTTGAGCCTGAGAATTCTCACTGGACAGTGTGACCTCTAGATGTTGCATTTCTATATCTCCAGGAGTTGAACCAGATACCGTGACCTCCTAATGGAGAAAGGATAAAAATATTTAACCACCTTATTCAAGTTGTACGATGGTGACAAACTAGTGGCTAGCTATCAGGTAATACCAGTCCACAAAAGATCTAAAATGTCAAAAAATCTAGGCCGAGCAAGAAGCAAACATCTCAAACACACATAACCAATTAATATGAATTTTAAAGGCTCAGATATTAACATGACTAAAGATCAAAAGGTGATTTCCTTGACCATCAAGCATTATATATAACTAGTCTAAGAGAAGTTGGTGGGAGAATGCAACAACTTCTATCAAGTAGGAATACACTGGGGCTACCTGCGGTTGATGGATATTGACATTCTCTACCAACACCTCATCGCATCCTCCATTGCTGCTGGCACCCAGCAGGTGATCCTCGTCTTCAAGGTTAGACATGGTAGCACCCCCGCACTGTACTGACGATGGAAAATTCTCCGTTACCAATTTAATATCCAGGCAGACAATTTTCCAGCTGCAGTCAGAGGTCCTGGTGTAGTCTGCAACTGACGAAAGCCTAGTACCATCAGTTTCCCTACAACTGAGAACATTGATTCTGTAGATAAAAAGCAACCAACGCAACAACAAATTGCAACACTCATTCACTCCTAACGCATGGTTAAGAGTGCATAGGAATTAAGAACTATCTACCTTTAATTTTCAGGATTAGAGCTCCAAGAAAAAAATATGGCTCAGTTCTTGGAATTGCAAAAACAAACACCTTTAGATTGCACAATTCTGAATAAATACATAAGTTTCACAATAATCGGAGAACATTGGAATGGAACTCTATGCTAAGAAATACCAGCAGTCTAACAGAAATACGTGGAAGAATATACGTCCTTGCTTCTTTTGTGTGTGTGCAGATTACTTTAATGCACGCATTCAGTACCAAAAGTGCTTAAAAATAATAACATGCCCCATGCCAACATTAATGTCAAAGTCAGTTAACTGCAGTCTAAGTTGAGTGTCCCACATGTAACTTAATTGTAACCCAAGTTTCTCAGAAGCTATGTACTCACTTTGGAATTTAGTGTGATGCAATGCAATACGGACATGATCAAGAGAAAGGGAAGGACAAACTCACCTTGGCCCAGGGACCGTCAAACTGGTGTGCCTAGATGAAGAGGATCTGCTGTGGGGAGAATGGTGGATGCCGTCCAATCCTTGGCCTCCTCGTCCTCGTCTTGGAAGTTCTCTTTCTTGCCCACCCTACCTGCTAAAAATTAACATTATCAAACAGTACTTACTAGTAAGGAAATTTGTTCAAGGGTAGAATAAATCACAGCTAATTCAACAGAAAATCGAATTACGTATATGCAGGCAAGCAATCCCACCCAAACTCAACCCCGATTCCCTGGACCGGCTCGCCTTGGATCGGAGCAGCTCGTGCGTGTGCTGGCGTGTGCAGGTGTGCTGCTCACCGCGCGTGGCCGTGTCCCCGTGTGTGTGCGCAGGAGCGGCACCAGAGACGGGCGTGGCAACCAGCGAGATGCAGTCGTCCGTCGCTGCCGAGCGGTGCGCCGTGCGTGTGTGAGCTCGGAATGGGAAGAGAGGGAGGGAGGGAGGGAGGAGCTCGCTTACCTCGTCGGAGTGCTCGGCGAGGCACTAGGGCAAGCGCGACGGGGGGCGAACGGCGGTGTCCAGCTTCTGGCGTGGCGACTGGCGGGCGGCAGACGACGGACAGCGATTGGCGCCGGGAGTGGAGGACGCGACGGCGACGGCGGCGGCGGCGGCGGCGGCGGGAGAGACGCGGGGCAGGCTCGGGTTCGGGAGAGACGCAGGTCACCGCTGTTCGGCTGGGCCAAAACCGGAACTGACCGCTTTGCGTCTGAAATGGTTTGTTGACCTCCCGCACAGGCTGGCCGGCCCATTATGGCCAGCTGCTGTATCAAGAAGCGTGGCGTACGGTTCTTATTTTTTCTGTTTAAAAAAAAACTAGTTTTCAGTCGATTTTATTTTGTTGTCCAGCAAAAAAAATTATTTTAGAATGACAAATATTTTATAATAAAAATTAAAGTGTTTCCAAAAATTTGCAAACATTAGAAAAAACTCGACCATTTTTAGAGAACATGTAATTATTTTTTTAAAATTTAGAATATTTTTAAAAGTTTCCAAAATCCAGTTAAAACGTTAACATTTTTAATATAAACAAGAATGTGTTTCGGAATTGTGAGCCTTTCCAAAAAATGTGTAAGTTTTTTGGAATTTTGGGTAGGGTAGTTTCTTTTAACAAATTTGATTTTTTTAATGTAAATAAAAAAGAAAAATGAAAAATAAACCTGATAAATAAAACAAAAACATTGGATAGAACCTTCAAAAAGATTTCTAAAACTGACAAAACCAGAACTGGAACCTTTACAAAACCGGCAAACTAGCTAGTTGGGCCAACCCATTTCACTTTGTTAGTGTTTGATCCACAACTCGGGCTCGGCTATGTGTGGCTTCTTGCGACACCCTTTTTTTTAGTCTAAACACACTTTATTTAATGATCGTAGTCCAAATACATTTGGATACAATTTAGGTCTGGAGCATCGAGGAGCCACAGATGGTGTCCTAATGAAAGGCCTAAAGCATGTTTGGCGAGGCTATGTGCCTCGATCTTAGAATCGCGTCCCTCAAAGATGAAGGAGCAAGCTGCAAACTGTCTTGATGTCGCCTTGATCTCTCTGATGTTGCTTGCATATAAACCTCCCATGCCCTTGTTGAAGGAAATATGCCCTAGAGGCAATATTAAAGTTATTATTTATTTCCTTATTTAATGATAAATGTTTATTATTCATACTAGAATTGTATTAATCAGAAACTTAGTACATGTGTGAATATATAGACAAACATAATGTCACTAGTATGCCTCTACTTGACTAGCTCGTTGAATCAAAGATGGTTAAGTTTCCTAGCCATAGACATGAGTTGTCATTTAATTAATGAGATGACATCATTAGAGAATGTTGTGATTGACTTGACCCATTCTGTTAGCTTAGCACTTAATCGTTTAGTATGTTGCTATTGCTTTCTTCATGACTTATACATGTTCCTATGACTATGAGATTATGCAACTCCCGTTTACCGGAGGAACACTTTGTGTGCTACCAAACGTCACAACGTAACTGGGTGATTATAAAGGTGCTCTACAGGTGTCGCCAAAGGTACTTGTTGAGTTGGCGTATTTCGAGATTAGGATTTGTCACTCCGATTGTCGGAGAGGTATCTCTGGGCCCTCTCGGTAATGTACATCACTATAAGCCTTGCAAGCAATGTGATTAATGAGTTAGTTGTGGGATGATGCATTACATAACGAGTAAAGAGACTTGTCGGTAATGAGATTGAACTAGGTATTGAGATACCGACGATCGAATCTCGGGCAAGTAACATACCGATGACAAAGGGAACAACGTGTGTTGTTATGCAGTTTGACCGATAAAGATCTTCGTAGAATATGCGGGAGCCAATATGAGCATCCAGGTTCCGCTATTGGTTATTGCCCGGAGACGTGTCTCAGTCATGTCTACATAGTTCTCGAACCCGTAGGGTCCGCACGCTTAAAGTTAGATGGCAGTTATATTATGATTTTATATGTTTTGATGTACCGAAGATAGTTGGGAGTCCTGGGTATGATCTCGGACATGACGTGGAGTCTCGAAATGGTCGAGACATGAAGATTGATATATTGGACGACTATATTCGGACACCGGAATGGTTCTGGGGGTTATCGGATGTATATTGGAGTACCGGGGGGTTACCGGAATCCCCCGGGGAGTTAATGGGCCTCATGGGCCCAAAGTGGAGCAGAGTGTTGGGGAACATAGTAATTTTAAAATTTTCCTACGCACGCACAGGATCATGGGGATGCATAGCAACGAGATGGGAGAGTGTGTCCATGTACCCTCGTAGACCGAAAGCGGAAGCGTTAGCACAACGCGGTTGATGTAGTTGTATGTCTTCATGATCCGACCGATCAAGTACCGAACGCACGGCACCTCCGAGTTCAACACACGTTCAACTCGATGACGTCTCTCGAACTCTGATCCAGCCGAGCTTTGAGGGAGAGTTCCATCAGCACGACGGAGTGGTGACGATGATGATGTTCTACCGACGCAGGGCTTCGCCTAAGCACCGCTACGATATTATCGAGGTGGACTATGGTGGAGGGGGCCACCGCACACGGCTAAGAGATCCAAGGGATCAATTGTTGTGTGTCCATGGGGTGCCCTCTCCCTCGTATATAATGGAGTAGAGGAGGGGAGGGCCGGCCCTCTCTTGGGCGCGCCATAGGGGAGTCCTACTTCCATCGGGAGTAGGATTCCCCCTTCCAAGTTGGAGTAGTAGAAAAGGAAGGGAGAAGGAGAAGGAAGGAAGGCCCCCCCCCTGCCTAGTCCAATTTGGACCAGTCCATGGGGAGGGGTGCGACCACCCTTTGAGGCCTTTCTCTCCTTTCCCGTATGGCCCATTAAGGCCCACTACGAATTCCCGTAACTCTCCGATACTCCGCAAAATACCCGAATCACTCGCAACCTTTCCGAAGTCCGAATATAGTCGTCCAATATATCGATTTTTACGTCTCGACCATTTCGAGACTCCTCGTCATGTCCCCGATCTCATCCGGGACTCCGAACTACCTTCGATACATCAAAACACATAAACTCATAATATAACCGTCATCGAACTTTAAGCGTGTGGACCCTACG